TTATGTAATCAATTATATAAATCTTAATATACATGTAGCAAAAAAACAATTCTCCAACTTCCCAAGAATTATTTCATAATTCATATTATGTCTCCGTTTGGTAGAGATTAAAATTAAATTTTTAGTATATTTGATAAAAAATAATGAAATGTGTGGTTGAAATTTTTTGGATTCTATAAAATATGTAATTAAAATTAATTTTTTATTTTTTATTTAAAATTTAATTGAATTTTAAACCAAAGGCGTATAAAAAAATTAAAAATAAAGATACACGAATGAATCAACGTTAATAGTCCCCCCTCGACCAATCAGAGCTCTTGTTCCATCTATTACTCCACCATTTTTATTGTTGACCTTTCATTTAACGCACGTTCTTCGTTGAAAGTGGATCGTGTATTTTTCTCTTTTTATCTGCATATGCGATCTACTACATTTTCCAGTTCCGAATTGCGCTACAGAATCGCTCGCAATTCATTCAGGAATTCTTCTGTTAGCTTTTTCAGGTTCAAATTTTCTTTCCTTTGTGGGTTTGTATATATTCACGTGGGCTCTGTATCATATCTGCATATATTTTCTCCTCATTTTTTTTTTCAATTTATCACTGAGTTTAATGGATGCAAATTGTGGCTTCTAATCATTACTGAATCTGAATATTATTATTCAAAAAAGGTTTCATTTTTTATCATTTCAGTTTTTTTTTTATTTGGGGGGGTGGTTTGCAATAATTGAGTTTGACCAATGGGATTCATATATAATCATGTTTGTTGAAATCCTTACATACCAGCTTAATTTTGTATAATATTATCTGTTAAGTGAAGCTGTTCATTGATTATTTGTTAAGGAGCGTTGTTGATGATCAATATCTTCGATTTTTTTTTCACATGCTTTTGAAATTTATATACGAGAATCTGGGTATGACTTCGTGTTGTGTGAAAATTTCTCATTAAGTTTTTCATTCTTGCTGCATCTAAATTTGCATGTGCAACTCTGATCGTACTAAAGTTATGTGACAAAGATTTTTTGTTGGATTGAGGCTACTTAATTTTAAATTACATCATTAGCCATTAATCAAGGAAAAGCTAGTAGCTTTACTGTTTATGCTTTGTTTCCTGTCTACTACGGTCGGAGTTAGTAGTTTTTTGATTAGGTTGCAGTCCAAATAAGGCTTTAGGATTTTTTACTAGTTCCCTTCTCTAGAGAATCAGTTTTTAGTATTTACTCATGAAAACTTGACGATTACTTTGTTTTTTTGAGAATAAATTAGTCTTGAATACCCTAATTTCTTAAAATTTGATGTTACATAGGTAGACTTGGAGTTAGTAATGGCAAGTTCAGATCTTGATTCTGAAATATTTGTGAAGCAGTTTTACATCCCAGATCATATATTTGTGCCGAACTGCACAGCCAATTGTCTGCCTAATATACCTGAATGCCCTGTTCTGGTATTCATCAATTCTAAAAGTGGTGGTCAATTAGGTGGAGATCTTCTAATCACTTGCCGCTCAGTACTGAACAAAAACCAGGTGAAGTTGCCATTCCTTTTGCTTTATCTTGCATAATTATATGGATTCCAAGTTAATTATCCCATCTGGTTCTGCAAGGTATTTTACTTTAGAAAGCTATTGATCGTCAATAATATGTAGTAAACTTGTTTACTTGTGCACTGATCTTAATGAATTTCAGGTTTTTGATTTAGGAGAAGAGGCTCCTGAAATTGTGCTACGTAAGCTTTATCTCAATCTGGAAAGGCTCAAGCTTAATGCGGATAAATTGGCTACTAAACTCGAGGAGCACTTGAAAATAATTGTAAGTTGAGTTTCAAGGAATACGTGGTCTTGCCCTTTTCCCTTTTATTTTTCAGAACTTGCGTAGTTATACCATTTGATATCCTTTACTTTCAGTATTTCTCATATAACATTGGACATGAATGTTATTTATAGGTTGCAGGTGGAGATGGCACAGCTGGCTGGCTTCTTGGGGTTGTTTCTGATCTCAAATTGTCTCATCCACCATCTATTGCTACAATGCCTCTTGGAACTGGAAATAACCTTCCATTTGCATTTGGCTGGGTATGCAAATTTTGTTTGTCTATTGGCCGCAGATGATGCAATTAATGCATATTTTTCGTCTTTTTAGTGATATTTCGTGGTAAATTTACTTTGAAAATGAAATGTTTTCTATTAATATGCGGTATGACTATCATCTATCAGCTTGCTTGTAGTATAACAGTTCACAGATTTTTACAAATTTTATTTGAACCAGTACATATTTGCCTAGTCAATGAACTAACCATCTATTGGTAGAAATTTCCTCACAACTGGCAGTTTCTCTAGATCATTTGTGCATTAACTTTAGGATTTCCTGGTTTCTGATTTTTCTTATGCATGAATCATTCGCTGTCTTTGTCTTACTTTGTCAATTGCAGGGAAAGAAAAATCCAGGAACTGATCGTAATTCCGTTCTCTCATTCTTGGATAAAGTACAGAGAGCGAAAGAAATGAAGATAGATAGGTCTGTTACCGATATTTTTTTAGTCCCGCATTATGTGACTAGTTTTTTGTGTGAGCTCCCCTAATAATAATTGTTTCACCAGACAATTCATTGTTGTCCTGGAAAACATTTTGGCAGTTGTAAGTTTTTGATGTAGAATGTCACAAGAACGAATTATGGAGAGAAAAAGAACAAGAAAATGGGAGGAAAATATATGATTCTGATTTTCTAGTAATAAAGTTGTGTTCAAAATGAAAAACCCAAGTCCTCTTCTATAGAAAATAGACTTGAACTCCAAGAGAACTTCTGATCCATAACAATGAATAAAATAAAATACATATCTGAACAGAGCAAAATAAAAATCCTATCCGATTAAATGATAAAGTCCATGTTTGGGCTCCATTTTTTTAAGAATTCATTTTTTCAAAACTCATTTTCATCCACACATTCTTCCATAAAATAATTTTACACAAATACCCAGAACTTTTCCTTAGCCCCGTTTGGTGCACATTTTAAGTCCAAGAATGCATTTTTTTGTTTGATGTGATAGGGAATATGTGGTTGAAAAGAAGGAAAAGTTATTGATGTGATGGAAAATATTATTTTATTGAAAAATGTATGGATGAAAATGAGTAGAAGAATGAGAATGAAAAAATAATGTGGCTCAAGCAGGGGCTTATTTTTTAATCACATATTCTCAAAAAAAAATACTATTTTAAAACACATTTTAACCCAAAAATGGGTCTCAAACAGGGGCAAAATCTAATCTAAATGAAAGTCTACTATTCTAAATGTTTCATCTTGAGTAGACTTTTAGTTGTTTTAATAAGGTTGATAGTCATGAATATACCATATCAGATCTGGTTTACAGAATGTGACACGAGCTGGTGGTTTCCTTCCTGATGTAGGTACAGGAAAGTGGCTTATAAAACTCTTCGGATTATATTGGAAAATTTCTTTGAAACAAAATACTAATTGAAAACCTTGATCAACCCTTGGTTTACATCCTTTTCAATTTCTTTTGCCCACAATTAGTTGTCATCGATACAATTATTGGTTTCATCTGCTAACGAAAACCAATACATTGTTGTGTTTATGCTTTGTATTTTCTAAAACATTGAGGCATCTAACATTCAAAGTTCTCATGTTGTTTGATGTCACTAAACTCCATGAACTATGCCCACTGTTCTTATCATCATTATATATTTATATCTTCTTAGTGGCTTCTCTATTTACTCAGTAAAATCTAACACTAATGAACTACTTGTAAAATGATCACAATCTCTTTGCATCATTGGTTAAATTTTTATCTATCATTAGTTATGAATGAATATATATAACACGTGATAGAATTTGCTTTCTTCACAGAACACAATAACAGGTTTGATGTTAAAATTGAAATTGTAAATATACTACCTCGCTTGCTGTCAACCAAATAAATTTTCTTTAGTCATGAGAGGGTTCATTCGTTCCTTTAGTCATTAAACTACCTGCTTTATAATAAGTTTAGTATAAGCTGTTGGACATTAGAATCACTTCTCATTGATGGTTCTTGAAGCCTGATGAAATGTCAGTTAAGAGTACTGCATTGTATTACTTACTGTAAAGTTAGAGCTCTTCAATTCCTGAGTGCAAACGTTTTGTTATAATCCAGCTGGCACATGCTCATGAGGATGAAAGTGCCAAAAGATGGTTCTTGTGATCCAATTGCCCCACTGGAGTTGCCACATTCATTGCATGCATTTCATCAGGTATCTTCAACGGATGATCTCAATGTGGTAAGATGACGTTTCCCCCTTAGATTCATTTACCTTTCCTTGCACACTCGAATGTCCTTTGAATGTTGTACTTCATATTTCATCTTAGCAAATTTTTCCTCTCTTCCCAAGGCCCAAATTGGCAGATGCTCTGAGTTTGAACATGCTGTTTCTTAAAATTAAGTAAAATTGTATATTCTGCTATTGATGAAAATGACTTTCAGTAGGAAGGACTTCCAATAGATTATTTAGTTCTACTTAGTTGGTAAGCAAAGGCATTAAGAGTTAAATTTTAGATCCTGCATTCTTCTTGAATGGCGCAGTTGATAATCTACTACAATTTAGTTAAGAATCCTAGAAAAATCATGGAATGCTTACAACTCTTAAGCATTTTGACTTCTGTTCTCCATGTGCAGTTCCAATGGTATAGGAAATATGTAAGTTCAGGAAGATTTAACTCATTGCAGTTGGGTTAGAAGATTTTTATTTATTAATGACATCTTGAATAAGAAGATGAAGCCGCACCTAACATTTCTGACATATATATACAATGCTGATGATGCCTAAGTGCTGTGATTTCTCCAGTTGCTCATGTTGTCTGAATGACTTGAAACTAGATCTTGACCAGAGAAGATCTCGACTGGAGAGAGATAATACTGTAACTAGGAATGCAATTATTCTCATTGACACTTATGGGTGATGGTCACCAGTGCTACTAAATATAATAAAGCAATACGAGACTTATTTGTCTTTTTTTATTTGAAAAGTCAAACCCAATCCTTTTCTCAAGTCTTAGAAGAAATGCTTCTAATGCTTTATTAATTTTGGGTTCGACTGTTTGCAGGAAGGTAGAATCACATTTCGTGGAGGATTTTGGAATTACTTCAGCATGGGTGAGTCTATAATTGCTTAATAGTAACCAACATAAAGCCTTAAATTGCTATTTTTGTTGGTGAAATTTGTAACCATCTCAAATCTGTGATCGTGATAGAACTGCATCATCTTTTTGCAAAATTAAAATGCTGTGAATTTCGTAAAACCTTTGGAGTAACAGCAGCCCTTCTGGATGATATGCTCTGATCTGAGCTGCACAGTCCAATGTGTATGAAAATTGTACAAAACTGTTTTGTTTCCATGATGATTGAATCAATTACATAAAATATGCATCATTCTTTGTTTTTTCCTTTTTCACTCTGCAGAATCATGATTCTTAATTCATAGCAGTAATTATCTTACTTCATGCACACTTATGGGGAAAGCATATTACTTGGTTATCTTGACTTATCTCGTAGAATTCTATTTTAGGGACTGAAACCATGGAAATTTAAAGCTCAGTACTATGCAAAATAGCACAACATCATGGAAGAGAAATAAGAGAGGAGCAAAGACACGTGAAAAAGAGATAGTGGATCATATTTATCTTATTTTTATTCTGGAGGAAGAACATAAAGACGGAAGGCTAGTTAGTGTGCTTAACAAATTCCCCTTCATCTATTAACGAGTACACTTGACCCTCAAACTACCCAATGACTTGCCAGACAAATTTACTAACTGTTATTAACTCTTAATGTATGAAGTGTGAACCACCTTCTCTAATAATTCTTCTTGAACAAAATGGCAATCCACCATATATTATATCCTTCCACGGAAATGCTGGATCAGATGAAGCACGGAAAGCTGCTTGATCGTCGAAGAACAAATCCATAGTTTGTTTGCGAAATCCAATTTCCTCTGTAGTTCTGTATTAAGTGAAACATACTTCTGTACTCATGTTTAGCATTAGTTCTTGCGATGGTGCCTGCACCACCACAAACAACAACAAGAAGAAGATAGCCACATTTACAAAAAAATATTTCTATCTGACTACTTACAGCATGGAGAACATTCTACAGCAGTTAAGCAACAAATGATGTCTAATGCCATAAACTTATTTTTTGTTTCTCATTTTATGTTGTAGGGATGGATGCACAAGTGTCTTACGCGTTCCATTCTGAACGAAAGCTGCATCCAGAAAAATTCAAGAACCAGCTGGTTAATCAGGTAAACATGTCAATTATTCTGTTGATTGGAGCTCCATTTCATGCAAACCATGAAATTTTTTCCATCTAGAGTTTGTTTGATGAACTGAAACAAATTTATAGTACATTATGAACTGGTTTTCAATCAGATAAGAAATCCTGTTACTGCAAGCTGATACACTCGTCTGATTAGACATGGGTAATATGATGGCATTAGATGCTATTCTGTTCTCTCTATGCTACATGATGTTTTCGTCATAATATTTTGAACTTTTACTTTCATTTATTTTACTAAAATAATGTGAATTTTGAAAATGCGAAACAGGATTAACTTTTACGGAAACTTGAGTCACAATAATTTTAGTTAAAAATTATTGATGACACTAAAGACTTTTTCTTCTTGAGTAATGTATGGAGAAGAGAAGCTCGAGATTCGGATTATGTCGGTTTAATTGCTAAAATGATCACATATTGGATTGATATTATCAAATGATGGAGGTGATTGTGTGATATGATATCACCTACTTTCTTCGGGCTCTTCTAGATAAAAAGAAAATATTTTATTTTGCACATATCATGGACAAATCTCTCTTGTAAAGATGCATTTATTTCCTCTTAGAGTACATATGCAAAGCTTGGATGCACGCAAGGATGGTTCTTTGCTCCTCTTGTTCACCATTCTTCAAAGTAAGTGTACATGGTTGTCCAATTTCAGGGTTACACTTTACTTCTTGCCCATTAAATAATTGAAAGGTGTTTACTGAAAATTGTCAGTTTTGCTGTACCTGTTTTGAAACTTATCGGCAATGTTTCTGCCATGCATTATTTAGTACTATGCGTTGGATGTACCTCATAACAACACATGAGCATTACACTGTATGTTTATTGTTTTCTTTGCCTGAAATAGCAGTCGTAATGCAGGAATATAGCTCAACTTGCCAAGGTCAAGATCATGGAAAGACATGGTGATTGGCAAGATCTACATATTCCCCACAGGTAGATCACTTAATTTTTTTGCCCGAATAATGCTCCCCTCTTGCAGTTTCTTCTTCTATTTGTTATTTCATGGGAATATGGAAGGAAATGAGAAGCTGAATACAACTATATTTTCTTGTTAAAGAGCCATTTCTAGCCCAATCTAATTTCTCCAATATTATATTTAGTCCAATCTTTTGATAAATTACATGAAGCCTCTTAAGAATTGTATGCCTGAGACGTTTCGTAGATTTAGCCCTTGTTTGGTCCCTATTATTTCGAAAATATATTTTTCTCTTTTATTTTCAATAAAATAATATTACAAGCAAACCCAAAACTTTTCCTTGTTTTTTAACCACACATTCTCCATCAAAATACTATTCCAAAATGCATTTTGGACAAAAATTGAGGCTCAAACAAGCTCTTAGTTTTGATGGGTCAAAAAGGAGAGGGATAGGCAAGTATACGTTTAACTAATATTTTAATAGTGAATGATTGTTTTTCTTCCCTACTTCAGAGACCATCATTTGTTAATTAAGGATTCAAATACTGACGTGGGCGCACGTATCAAATGTTTTAGACTTCAGATTTATGTGCAGAGATCTTCTGTTGAGATTTTACAGAGAAAAAGTTTAAATATTTCGAATTCTTGGCATAATTTTTTAAAACTCTTAAATGAAATGTAACTACATAACCATGTATGCTTCCACTTTATGTATCTTGTAGATTTTATTCCTAATTTTGTGTGTTTTGTTCTAACAATGCAGCATCAGGTCCATTGTATGTCTCAACTTACCTAGCTTCTCTGGTGGACTAAATCCTTGGGGAACACCGAATATAAATAAAAGACGTGATGTGCGTGCTCTCTTAAAACACGTTTTTCTTATTTTATTATTATTTTTATTTTTATTTCACTTAAAAGGAAAGGAACCCTTATAATCAATCCATATAACATTGTTTTCTAATATATTTCATTCTTCAACTTGATGTCTAGAGAGTCTTGACCCCACCTCTCGTCGATGATGGCATTCTAGAGATTGTTGGTTTTAAAAATGCTTGGCATGGACTGGTTTTGCTTGCTCCTAACGGTCATGGGACACGTCTTGCACAGGTTAGAGTCAAATAGAAAGCCGGGAGAAACTTAGATTCAGTTAAACCAGTGACCTGAGCTATTGTTGATTTTTTTTTTTTTTTGGTTTTCTTCTTCTAAGGCACATAGAATACGTTTTGAGTTTCACAAGGGTGGTGCTGATCACACCTTCATGAGGGTTGATGGTGAACCATGGAAACAGCCCCTTCCTGTGGATGATGACACTGTTGTTGTAGAGATCTCTCATCTCGGCCAAGTGAAGATGCTTGCTACCCATGACTGCAGATCCAAAAGTGTTCAAGACCCCTCATCTCACAACATTCAGGATGCAGATGAAAGGGATAGCGACAATGAAGATGAGTCTGTAGGGGAAGAATGGAGAAAATTCGGGGCAGCAGATACATTCAAGATTCTGGACGAGGTTGACATTTCTCATCTTAGTTAAATCTCCTGAAATTTATTGCATCTTATTTCTTCTAGGTTGAAGTTACTAAAAATAACTAACACTTATTAGTTGATATTCTGTATGCTAGTCTTGTTTCACCTAAACCATAAGAATAATTCGCTTGTTGATTTAGACATTTGTGTTAGGCAACATTAAGGGCCTGATGAATTGCAGTTGTTGAATTATCTTGTGGCTAACTGGAATGGACAATTGAAATTTATATATAGAACGTTTGAAAGGTTCATATTGTTGCTTGTTTTGGGATAAAACTTATGAGGTGACATTCTCATGGAACCCAAAGTATAAATATGATATTTCAGCTCAAATAATGTTATTAATCACCGCCATCTTGGACAAAATGAATCAAATGATCCACTACCACCACTACCACTTACACGAGTGATCATTAACACTATTGATGAATAACATTACTCTTTGAATTCAGTGCCTCGTGCAAATTGCTCTTACACCAAAAACTACATACTAAACAAAAATAACAAACAATTCTATAGAAATTCATAGTTAATGAAAATTGTACATCATTGCTAAATCACGAGACTCCGAATTATTATTTGTCATTAAATACACCTCTATTATGATAACCTGTCTGAACCATTATCATACAAAAGATCATATTAATTGTGAGATATATTGAGAGAGATTTAACAAACAATAAAGGTTACTTCATAACCCAGCATATTGGTATTCCCCCAAGCATTTTGTTACAGCTTCATTAGCTTTCTGAGACTCTGTCCTTTCTTCTCTTTTCTTTTTCTCCCTGAAGGCCATAAACAATAACAGCAAAAGTCAATAAACAAATCTGTGGAAGATTTCAACTAGAATGTGAGGGCATAATTCATTTGGTGCACGTTTGGTATGCAGCATTGTACTGGATAATACTATCTCCAAGACTTTAACTACTTTTTCTTGTTTAGAGCATGTTTGAGCCCCATTTTTTTCTTCCCAAAAATGCATTTTGGAATAGTGATTTGATAGAAAATGTGTGGTTAAAAAATAAGGAAAAATTTTGGATTTGCGTGTAATATTATTTTATTGAAGAATGTGGTTGAAAATAAGAGAGAGAAAAATGTATTTTGAAAATAATGGGGATCAAACAAGGGCTTAATAGTGTTGGATATTGTCTAATCCACCTTACCACCGTACAAGAGCTTGGAGTTTTGGGGAGGAAATTCTAACCTGTCAACATATTCCTTTAGCAATTCTTTTGCTTGAACCAGCTTAGAGAGTAGATTGCGGTAGACATCAAGATCACGATCAACACTTCTCTTATTTACATTCAGTGCTGCACAAAGCTGTCAAGCCATGATAGAAATGAGTTAATGATTATATATATCTCCTCTTCATATAGAATATTATGAAGCGTCCCCAAAAAACAAAAACACATGCGTGCATACAACACTCTGTAAAGCGGAACATTTTCAACCTGAACTCAAATCTTCACAGCTTCATTAATTAGAGAGACACGTTGATGTCTGGAAAAGGAATAAAGAGACATGTTTACTCATAATGCATGAAAGACATTGTGTAATAATACTTGGGGAACAGAAGAGAAAGAGAGGCATCACTCTAATATACTTAGTACTTACACAGTTGATATTCATTTGTACGCAAATTATTGTAATTAGAATGCTGATCAAATGGACCATTGTTCTTATCTTTTAAATAGACAAACATTTTATAGATCTCTACACCTTGCCTTTTTTTCAAGTAGCTTTCTTGAGCCTATCCAGCTAGTTAGGCATTGGATAGGAATTCATCAATGGGATAAAAAGAAGAGAAAGAGAGGGATGTCTTCGCTTTCTTTTATTCAAACATTTTCTCCTTTTATGGGACAAGATCAAAAGATAGTAAATCAGATAATTTACTGGAGCTTGACCCGGACTGTTCTATACATTAATTCACCCATTTATGTATCATAGACAGAAGGGATATTTTCTTTTTCCTTTCAAGATTCTCACCAAGTTCAAATATATATCATCAATGGTGGCTTTCTTACTGTGGACGGTTATGAGGGGACAGGTGTTCACGACGGATAATCTTATAAGAAAGGGCTGTTGTATTACGGAGTGGTGCTATATGTGTAAGAGGGATGGAGAGACAATCGATCATTTGCTCATTCATTGTGACAGTGTTCGTTGGATGTGGAATGATATTCTGGTTTTGCAACATATGAGTTGGATGTTGCCAAGACGTATCAAGGAGATGGTGTGGACATGAAAGAGAAAGTTTCGAGATAAGAATAGCAAGTTTGTTTGAGATCTCATTCCAGGATG